TCAGATCGATGATGATGATGATGATGATGATGATGATGATGATGATGATGATGATGATGATGATGATGATAGTGATTTGAGACTAGTACGCGTGAGTTCGAAATGGGTTAGAGAGAAGAAAACTATTCTGTCACCTGATTGGTGGGCAAGCACACGAATGAGAGAAGACAAGGCACCTCGAACACTACTCTATCTATTTCCCTGACCACTGAACTCACTGAATTCACTGAATTCGGATTAGTGTAAAAAGGTACATGAATAAATAAGTGAATAACCCGACCGCAACGTACAATAATTAGGAAAAATACAATTATGTCCAAAGCTGGGAATTAGAGTAGAAAATAGGGTGCAAAATAATATGTTTAAATTACAATAGCTTCGGAACAAAAAAAGGTATGGCAGTGAATGATACATCGAAAGAAAGCTTATGTTCTGTAGAATAGATTAGGGACAAAAATAAATGTCAGTGTTTTACAAGTTTTGAATAAAATGAAATAACATCCCGAAAAATAGCCTTCGTAGTTTGTCAAGGCTTCTTGTTTCCCGGTTCACATCAGTATGTTGTATACGAGATGTTTATTAGTTCATTATATTGGATAGACTGTTTCTAGGTTATCGTACTTTGTTATTTTAACGGTTCTTAATCTCATCTATACAAAACCTTTTTGTATGATTTAATGATAAAACATTCTATTTATGCATTAGTCTTAGTATTCATCACCTTAAATAGAAGTAAAATAAAGCCTTTTTTATATATAAGATGTGGAATAAGCTTGAGTTTAATCATTTGCTTAGAATCTATTAAATTACAGTATTAATATATACGAATATTCGTCAAGATTATATTTGAAATAATCTTAGCGATTGAAATTTTAAATAATTCCAACGTTTCGTCCAGCTAACTTGTCTGAACTTCATCAGTGGCCTGTTTGGATATCTAGGCTACCTATTCCTTCTATCTAGATATTTCGTCAAGTTATCTGTTTTCTTATTTGTTTTAACACATTATTATGTCGATTGAGCTCATAACCTATTCAGGCGCGTTTATGAAAAGTTTACAATTTTTCTCTGTACGGATTAAAAAAAGGTACAACCAGAGACATCATGCTGCCTTGCAATATACATTGAAACGAATCAACATTATTCAGATGTCGATTATCGAACTGCTAACATCTAAGTGGTTAGCGTTTTTTTAGCGAGTTAGTTTTCTACGAGATGGGGTCGCTAACACCATGTCCAACCCTCCTCCTTTATCCGGGCTTGGGACCGGCATTAGCCCCCGGAAAGGGACTCCAGGCGGAGTTTAAATAGGATTTCGCTGCCAGGAGAAGCTTTGGAAGATGTAAAAACCTTTACATATTTGGGCAGTATCATTGATGAACACGGTGGATCTGATGCAGATGTGAAGGCACGGATTGGCAAAGCAAGAGCAGCATATTTACAACTGAAGAATATCTGGAACTCAAAACAATTAGCAACCAACACCAAAGTCAGAATTTTCAATACAAATGTCAAGACAGTTCTACTGTATGGGGCCGAAACCTGTAAAACTACGAAATCCATCGTCCAAAAGATACAGGTGTTTATTAACAGTTGTCTACGCGAAATACTTCAGATTTGCTGGCCGGACACTATAAGCAACAACCTACTGTGGGAGAGAACAAATTAGATCCCAGTGGAGGAAGAAATCAGGAAGAAGCACTGAAAGTGGATAGGACACACATTGAGGAAAGCACCGAACTGCGTCACAAGACAAGCCCTCATATGGAATCCTCAAGGTCGAAGGAGGAGAGGAAGACCAAAGAATACATTACGTCGAGAAATGGAGATAGATATGAGAAAAATGAACAAGAATTGGATGGAACTAGAAAAGAAGGCCCAGGACAGAGTGGGTTGGAGAATGCTGGTCGGCGGCCTATGTTCCATTGGGAGTAACAGGCGTAAGTAAGATAAATATTGAGTGGTTGCCAGTTAGATGTTAACAGTTCAGTCAATCGACATTTGATTAATGTATATATATATTTGATACATATTGCCAGCAACCACAATGTCTCTGATTGAACTCTTTTGTAACTTGTACAACAAAATGTCATTCATTATTCACAAACGTACCTGAATACGTTATGCAACCAATAAACATAATGATATGTTAAAACAAACAAGAAAATAGATCAGTTGTTCAAATAATCCAGATAGCAAAACACAGGTAACTCAGATATTTAAACAGGCCGCCTTGGATGATATAATTAACATTTATTTATTTATTTTAACACATAGATATTGGTACAAGGAGGCACCAAATATAAATGCGCTGCACATATCTCATTCGATATGTGTGAGGGCTGTGATACTGTCCGGGTGCCCAAATCAAAGCAGATGTTTTACTTAGGGAGCCGCATACTGAGCCTTCGATCTGATCCAGTACAAGGCAATGCTGCATCGTAAAGAGATGCAGTCCCATGGTAGCCAGCCGATGACCAATGATTGTTTCATACATCATTTGTTCATTCAGGATACTGGAGTTAGCCCATGTGCATGAATGGTTTGGGATCCGGTTAAAGCGCTTTACATTCGCTTTTCATCCTATCATCTTCGTAAACAACACCCCCTTGACGAGAAGGCAGTAAGTAGGACTTCTTTGGCAGAGGCTATATACGTGTGGTCATGTGAGAGCATTTTAAGAGAGGTTGAGCGAACTCTCTCCACTCTCGATCATACCAGAGCATTTGAGGGCCAATGATATAATACTAACTCTTTACTTATATATTTCTTTATCCTACAAGTTTATTATAAAAAAAGAACACAAGCTAATTTAACCATTGACATTTTATTCTAAGGATTTATAATAGGTGGGGGTGGGAAAACAATATTCTTCAATATTCAATTATAATGATTGATTAACCAATCAAAATTAACTAAATAGTGTATAAATATACATAGATACATAGGTTTCAGTATTCTTACAATATTCAAAGATTTCTGAAGTATTCATCATAGAACTATAGTCGTTTTCCCTCCAAAAAAAAAAGAAACACAAATAGTATAAGTAAGTTATATTGATAACATTGAATGAATAGATTTCTTATTAAAAGAGGTTTTTGTAGTGATGGTCATTTCATTAGATAAGATCATGAGTAGTCATTAGTTTAGAAGTTAAACATTCGTGTATGAGATCGATAGGTTATGGTTTTAAATCTCATGAGGCGGAATCATGGATGTACACTGTGGATGTATCTCACAATAGGATGAAATAGCTATCTAGTACTTCCAGATTTGTCATCATGATGACGATGGTCTAGTTTTCATTGATTGATGATCTCATATAATGAAATCATACATTTTTACTGAATAAGTTTTATAAAAGAAAGATTATGATACTTCACTTTATACTGTAAAAGTAATTCGTTCATCGATTTTTTTCTTTTTTTGTATGTTAACTTTTTAAGGTTCCATTTTTTTTAATGTTTATGACAAATTTATACTTACTTACTTACTTACGCCTGTTACTCACAATGGAGCATAGGCCGCCGACCAGCATTCTCCAACCCACTCTGTCCTGGGCCTTCTTTTCTAGTTCCATCCAATTCTTGTTCATTTTTCTCATATGTATCTCCATTTCCCGGTGTAATGTATTCTTTGGTCTTCCTCTCCTCCTTCGACCTTGAGGATTCCATATGAGGGCTTGTCTTGTGAGGCAGTTCGGTGCTTTCCTCAATGTGTGTCCTATCCACTTCCAGTGCTTCTTCCTGATTTCTTCCTCCACTGGGATCTAATTTGTTCTCTCCCACAGTAGGTTGTTGCTAATAGTGTCTGGCCAACGGATCTGAAGTATTTTGCGTAGACAACTGTTAATAAACACCTGTATCTTTTGGACGATGGATTTCGTAGTTTTCCAGGTTTCCGCTCCATACAGTAGAACTGTCTTGACATTTGTATTGAAAATTCTGACTTTGGTGTTGGTTGCAAATTGTTTTGAGTTCCAGATATTCTTCAGTTGTAAATATGCTGCTCTTGCTTTGCCAATCACAAATTTATACCCATTTGAATATTTCTCTATGGTAAATATAAACAAAAAGTCTTAAGTAACCAACTGAGTAGTATTTTATTCTGTTGTATTCTATTATATATGAATATTTAACTATCTATTTAAACATAGTGAAGTATAAATCCAAATGATTAGACTATATGGATAATTGAGATTCTTAACTGAAATTACTATACAGAAGGGGTTTTGTGAAGATTGTAGTAATTTCAATGATTAAGATCATGAGTCAGTTGAAGCTAGACCACAACCATGGAAAACCTGGAAGCACTAGACGGCTGTTTCGTTCTATTATGGGACTCCTCAGCAGTGCGCATCCACGACCTCTCTCCTTGGGAGATTTGAACTTATTAATGACAATCGTGGATGCATCGGTCAATTTCGTGGATGAGTTGAAGTTCGACATTAACACTGTTGGATGCAGGCCAGCTCGAAGGTCTAGTGATTAAGTGCTCGCTCGCGAAACCAGTAGGTCCTGTGTTCGAATCTTGCAGGGGGTGAGGTCGTGGATGCGCACTGGTGAGGAGTCCCATAATAGGACGAAACAACCGTCCAGTGCTTCCAGGTTTTCCATGGTGATCTAGTTTCTACTAACACATGATCTTAACCATTGAAATCTATTATTATTATTATTATTATTATTATTATTATTATTATTATTCGTATTACGTAATCGAGTATTATAATCTTTCTATTACATCATCTTGGTTATTCCTTGTTCACATTTTCTCATGGAACTAGTACTTTAACAAAATTCATTGAAAAAAAAAGAGATTCCTTCATTGAACTTGGTATTTTTAATTTTTATTGTTTAAATGAGATTTATTTCTTAATTACAAATAAATCAATTTAATAGTTGAATAATTCATTAATCGATTAAAATGTGACTATTTAGCAACATCTGGAAGTACTATACACATGTTTCGTCCTATTATGAGACTCTTCAACAAAACACATACATGATCATATCAATAGATTGCTTTGAATAAAAATAAGATTATAAGAACAATTCATTTGTTAGATGGTTAAAGGTTATATGTGTAATAGGCAGGTAACTTTAAACTTTAGTTGATTCTTGTCAATAGAGAGTTTCTTTAATCTTGATAGAACTGATAATTCTATTGTTATAATATATCATAGAGTGTTTACCTCTAGACGATTCAATTCCTGTGAAATCTTTAATTAGACGATAGAATGATCATTTTATGTGTATTCGAATAGTTTAAAGCTAATTCATTTACAACTTAAGCGTATATCCATATTTCATAAAGCGTAGAAAACAGAAAGTAATAGTATGAAAGACTTATATCACTATGTATATTTAGAAGAGACAAACTCAATTGACAACTTATTGTACTAACTATTTTATTGGATGTTCCCTATTAGTTATTGTTTATTTTATCCTTATTTATCAATTGTATAAGAAGAAAGATCTAAAATAAAAATGAAATCATCATATAATTTCACTAAGTGTTGTTTACTTGTATCTTTTCATTGTTATTTAAGGTATTAATAGTGAATGGTACTGGGTTTGAACCCTTGAGTAAGATACATTCAATTGAAGAGTCCCAAATAGGACGAAACATGTGTTCTACATTCCATTGCTCATTACTATCCATGTTTACTTATATAATCATATAATTGATCATATTGTAATGTAAATAAATTTAAAAATATGATAATTTTGATTTTTCATATTATATAGTTTCTATTGTTTTGTTGAGAATAAAAATTCAGATTTAAGTAGTATCTAATTTACTAAGCTTTACTTATAGTGATGAAGATATATAGTTCAGTTGAATGATTTTAATAGAGTTTTGTATTGTTTTTTTTTGTAAATAACTAAACAATAACAAATTTAAAGTTAACAAGAATCAATGAAAGATTAAGGTCTACAGAACAAACAGTAAGCCATATATAAAGTAATTTGTACACTTCATTACTACTTAAAGTTTTATGTTGATTATGTCATTCAGAAGAACAATGAAAACTTCATGATGAAATCATCTAGTTCAAAGAATAAAACTTTATTAAAAATAAAAGTTTTACTTATTTTATTCTTACATGATTATTAGTGTATTTTCAATAGGTTGAAATCATGAATCCATTGAAGCTAGACCACTATCATGGAAAACCTGGAAGCACTGGACGACCGTTTTGTTCTTGTATGGGACTCCTCAGCAACTATTGAAATTACCAATTCTTCACAAAATCCATTCTAGTAATAATCATCTGCTTACTAGTGACTGACTTCAAAGAGATACTCCTGGAGTTCTAGTGAGAAGCCGTGACCAGTGGAGTTCAACCAGGTCTGAAGACAATGGTGACGGTGGAGCAACTTCGTGGATTAGTTGAAGTTAGACATGAACACCGTTGGATGCCGGCCAGCTCAGTGATCTAGTTGGTTAAGAGCCTGGCGCGAGACTGATAAGTCCTGGGTTTGAATCCCGCGGAGGGCGGGATCGTGGATGCGCACTGCTGAGGAGTCCCATACTAGGACGAAACGGCCGTCCAGTGCTTCCAGGTTTTCCATGATGGTGGTCTAGCTTCAATGGATTCATGATTTCAACCAGTGAAATTACCAATTCTCCACAAAACCCATTCTAGTATTAGCGTATTGTCATTAATCGAAGGATTATTTTAAGCTTTTTAACTTTCTATCATTAACAATAGTGTACAATATACTATGTCTATTATATGTACTAACATATCCTAACCTACTGTAACATTAGATATAATGAAATGTTAAATATATATCAAAAAACGAATTCATAAATTTCTTATGTAATCTATGGAACACTAGATTTACTTGGTATTGTTTACTTGAATCTTTTCATTGTTGTTTAGAACTGTAATTGATCAGTCTCTTGTTGACATATATGTGCACAGTGTGTGGACTGCCTTGATATTAGCATTAGAAGCAAAGATGAATAGCGGCTAGTAGTGAAATCCAATTTGATGAGTGTTTCGTCCTATTTGAAACTCATCAGTCGGATGTGCCTGCATCTCAGAGTTGATATTCACTACACGACTTGATCCCATTACTATTCGTTTCAAACGCCATCTGATTATCCACTTAGCTACTGATTCCTAATAACCACTTGCTTGTTTAATGGGGTGAAGTTGTATTCACTTGTATTTTTACATTGTTATTCACGACTCTGATTAATCAGCCTCTTATTGACATATATGTGCATAGTATGCATATATCTTGATATTGTCTTCATTCACAAGCCTTATAAGCAAAGATAGATAGTATCTAATAGTGAAATCCAATTTGACGAATGTTTCGTCCTATTTGGAACTCGTCAGGAGTAAAAACATAGATTATGGATTCCACTACTAATCACTGTCTATCTTTCACTATAGGATACTAATTTGGAAATAAACAAGTATAGAATAGAATTATTCAATTCAATATTAGTTGAATGTATACTACAATACAACTCTTTTGTTACTTTAAATTAATCACTATAACTTCATAGAATCATGTGTAATTCATTGTTCTAATTATGGTTGAATAAATAAATGTATTATAATTCAATGATTTAAATCAGTTGTTATGCTGTGTATATATTCAATGTTAACATTACTTACTTACTTACCTACTTACTTACCCACTTGCTTACCTACTTACTTACCTATTTACTTCCTTACTTCCTTCCTTACTTACTTAATCCTGTCACTTCTTTCCAGCTCTTTCTAGTTGTTATTCATCATATTCACATTTGAATAAGTAACATTGATGAACTTTATTGTTGAGGGAAACATTCTTGAATATTTTATATTATTGATCAGATATAATATGTTTGTTTATAGGGAAATCATGCATGTTATTTTAATAAGTGATTATATATATAGATGCTAGGCAAATAACTGACAGGTATTTGGAAGTAAACAATGTTTTTTATGGATAAAACTGTCTAAAACAAAGTAACAACTCATTGCACAAGATAGTAACTATTTGGAATTAGTAGCTAAGTAGATAACATGTTGATGTTTAA